CTCCTATATGGCAGTGAAAGATGGACAATCTCCTCACAGATGAAGAAGAGAGTTGAAGCAACAGAAACAAAGAAAAGAGTACTGAACTGTTACGTAATATCAGTCCTCCTATATGGCAGTGAAAGATGGACAATCTCTTCATAGATGAAGAGGAGACTTGAAGCAACAGAAACAAAGAAAAGAGTACTGAAATATCAGTCCTCGTATATGGCAGTGAATGCTGGACAATCTCTTCATAGATGAAGAAGAGACTTGAAGCAACAAAAATTCTGTGCTACAGAATGATAATAAGAAAACCATGAACATAATATACGGGCAAGGACAAACTTCTATAATGGAAAGAAAAAGAAAACTTACACACTTAGCATCAGGAAAATTCTTAAGGATCATAACGAGGAAAGATGGCTTGGAAAATTTGATACTCAAAGGACCGATTATAGGCAAGAGGGACAGATGAAAACAAAGTATAAACTGCCTAGCGAGCAAATGTAAATGGATGCCGGGTGAAGGTGTAGGAGAGACAGCAAAAAAAGCCAGCATTTATTAAGATCTACAATGAGCAAGAAATTGTGTAGAGCCATGAAAGAGCACGGCACACATAGAAGAAGGAAACGAACGTCAGTAATGGAGCAGCTTAAAGCTTTAGTTCAATTTCGGTGCAGTTGCTTGGAAAGGAATTACTTTTCTTTTTCATTTTTGAAATCGTGTCCTTCCACGCAGCAGTGACTCGTCGCTTGAATTATTTCAGCAAATAACTAAGAAGAAATAGAGCGAAACAAACTGACACGCCCGGGGAAGTAAGATAAACACTGATCGACAGCCAATGAAATTGTGGCAAATAAAATACAAAGAAAGACCGTATATATTCAAGCAAAGTGTGAGACTTTATGATTAGCTGTTTTTTACACAAACAAATAGAAGGTCGCACTATACACAGGCATTTTTTTTTGAAGAGGTTAAATATCATACAGTATACGCTGGTACACGATATACTCGAGTATAGTGCAAGTTTTTATGATCAGTTTTTTATAAAAAAAAAAAAAAGGGGGCGCATTATACACAGTTAATTTTTAGTAGACGTTGAAAATCATGCAGTTCCTGTGACCTATTCCGCTATACGCAGGTATATTCTCATTTTCATTTTAACTTTTAGAAGTAAAGTCTGATAATCCAGAGCCTTTTAAAAGGTTTGTGGTGAAATAACTTATTACATGGAACCTTAAAAGTGTTCTGTTTTTTTTTCAAATATATATATATATATATATATATATATATATATATATATGAAAGTGAACATTGAAGTCAACAGTTAGAGGCGACAGGCTGTTTTCATGCTAGAGGCAATTGTCAGGACTGACGATTGTGTCTAGCATGAAACAACCTGTCACCATTGAGTGTTGACTTCAATGTTCACTTTTATATTTACACACGCTCTATCTCTGATATTGAGCACTTTATCCCATAAATATAGCACACCTTAAGAGTATATTTCTTCATATATATATATATATATATATATATATATATATATATATATATATATATATATATATCTAAATAGAAAACAGGCATGAATGGGTCCATTTGTTATAATTTATTTCCCCAGGTGTATGATTTTCACCTGGCTTATCAGACCGCACTTCCAATGGACCCTTAATGTTGTCTGTTTTCTATCTAAATTACTAATTGCTCTGATTTGACATTGAGCTCTCTGGATTTCAGCCTCACAGGATTTATCCATACGGATTACCAAACTTTTCATTAACTATATATATATATATATATATATATATATATATATATATATATATATATATATATGGGGTGGGTGCTCTGGAGATGTAGTACCTTTTATATCTGGTACTCTGCATCATCAGGTAGACGGACATGACTAGTCCACAGCCATCTCCTAAATTTCCCATGGGTGATGGCTCAAGTTGCCATGTCACGGTAAACCGCTTCGACTGGCGGGCTACACTTACGTGAGTGGGTGTGGATTAACACGGCACCACTGGGCGAATGACCCTCCTCGCGGAAGGGTTCCTCGGATGGAATTACAGCGGAGACGTGTTCTCGACTCAGGCGAGACACCTAGCTGGCGAACATCGGCTGAGGTCTAACCTAGTAGAGATGGGCTCCGCCAGGTTAAAACGGCCACACGGCGCACAAAGTGATGAGCACACGAAGAAGTCATTCGCGGAGACCCAGGCTCGGGCCTACGACCGCGACAGATGGAGGAAAATGGTAAACAGCTGTTATATAGGAATAAAATGTTGCTGTCGGCACTAGATTTTGAACATGGATCACCAGTGGGCAAACACAGGCGATCCCATTATTGAATTAAATGGATCACGTGACCATAGAGGAAACGCATATATAGGAAGTCGCTTGATATCTAGCTTGATCTACATTTCTACGATAACTATCCGGGTCGCCATTTCTAGTCTATCCTCGATTACTATTCGGATCGCTATTTCTACTCTATCCTCTATTACTATTCGGATCGCTATTTCTAACATATCCTCTATTACTATTCGGATCGCTATTTTAGACTATCCTCTACTACTATTCGGATCGCCACTTCTAGTCTATCCTCTATTACTATTCGGATTGCCATTTCTAGTCTATCCTCTATTACTATACGGATCGCTATTTCTAACATATCCTCTATTACTATTCGGATTGCCATTTCTAGTCAATCCTCTATTACTATTCGGATTGCCATTTCTACTCTATCCTCTGTTACTATACGGATCTCTATTTCTAGTCTATCCTCTATTACTATTCGGATCGCCATTTCTAGTCTATCCTCTATTACTATACGGATCGCTATTTCTAGTCTATCGTCTAATACTATACGGATCGCCATTTCTAGTCTATTCTCTATTACTATACGGATCGCTATCTCTAGTTTGTCCTCTATTACTTTTCGGATTGCCATTTCTAGTCTATCCTCCATTACTATTCGGATAGCTATTTCTAGCCTATCCTCTATTACTATTCAGATCGCAATTTCTAGTCTATCTCTAGTTTGTCCTCTATTACTATTCACATCGCTATTTCTATTCTATCCTCTAATACTTTTCGGATCGCCATTTCTAGTCTATCCTCTTTTACTATACGGATCCCCATGTCTAGTCAATCTCCTATTACTATCCGGATCGCTATTTCTAGTCTATTCTCTTTTACTATTTGGATCGCTATTTCTCCTCTATTACTATACGCTATACTCTATTCTCTTCTCTACACTATTCTCTACTCGTGTCAACATTGTCGTTACTTTTAGCAAGTGCTATTAGTGCGTGTGCTATTCGAAGGCGTCTGACACCAGTATTGTTCGACGACGTTACTATAGATGTATCTGCGATTACAAAGTCTCTACTACAACGAGCATTACGAAAGTGACAACGAGTATTCGTTGACATCACAAAAGTGGCAACGGGTGTTCGTTGACATTACAAAGACATCTCAGCATATCTGCGCCCCAGAGACTCCTTCTGGTGTTAAGGGCGAAAAAAGAATAATAATAAGAAGAAAACCCAGGATGATGCTCAGTACGGCGTCATTTCACTATGGTAGGCCAACTAGTATTGCTCAGAAAACGCGGTCGAATTATAAACGAGATATGCGAAAAAAGAATCAGGGTTTTCATAAAAAAAAATCCAAGGGTCACACAGTACAGCAAGTAGACTTATACGTGAATATATTCGGTACATGGAAATAAATTATTCAGGGAGTTTCTTTTTGTTCGCGTTCTGTCCATTTTTATGAATGTTGCTATCAAATTGATCTTTAAAAAAAAAAAAGAAGGTATTTCGATGTTACCGCCAAAATCATGCACACTTTCGACATCTTCTTTCTCTTCTTCTTCCTCTCCTTTTTCTTCTTCTAATTCCCCTTCATCTTCTTCTTCTTCTTCTTCTTCTTTTTCTTCTTCTTCTTCTTCTTCTTCTTCTTCATCTTCTTCTTCTTCTTTTTCTTCTTCTTCTTCTTTTTCTTCTACTTCTTCTTCTTCTTCTTCATCTTCTTCTTTTTCTTCTTCTTCTTCTTCTTATTCCTTCTTCTTCTTCTTCTTTTTCTTTTTCTTTTTCATCTTCTTCTTCTTCTTCTTCTTCTAATTCACCTTCTTCTTATTCCTTCTTCTTCTTCTTCTTTTTCTTTTTCTTCTTCTTCTTCTTCATCTTCTTCTTCTTCTTTCTTCTAATTCACCTTCTTCTTATTCCTTCTTCTTTTTCTTCTTCTTCATCTTCTTCCTCCTTCTCATTCTTCTTCTCATTAAAAATTGTCTGAAGACAATCTTTTATTAAGAGTTTGGAATGTCGAAATTCGTAGTGTTGGGATTGGATACAATAACAAAATATTGTTGCGGGTCTACGCGTATTTTCGGCCGTTTGGAATAATCAAACGATTTTCATTGTAAAAATTAAGTTTCAACAAATGGACATTAATTTTATATAACGACACGAATACAAGCAATTGATCAAAGATCGAAAAATAATGGCTTTTTGTTTGGGTTAATAAAATTCTGAAATAGAATATAAATTCTCTTTGTGTATGTATGTGAGAAACAATGAAATGTTGTTATATGTGTTTTTGTGTGAAAAAGTCAACATGTGTGTGTTTGGTTCATAGTAAAGAGGATACAAGAGATAGAATTTGTTTCTTACTGTGGACGACATTGCCATAGTCTGAAGTAGTCTCTTTGAATTTTGTTAACGCTGTCGCTTTTAGGATGAGATCGTGAATTTCACAAGCGAGAGTGGCGCGGACATTGATGACAGCTGTGCGTATCCTGTTTGGGGCCGGATTTCGTGTTTTGTACACTTTCTCGTAAGAAAATCGGCTCCATCCCCCGCTTCCTACACGAAAATAAATTTACATCTTTCTATTACCAACTCTCTTTCAAATAAAAAGCAAAATTAAATTTCAAAGAAGACATTTAAATTAGCTTTTTTTAAAAAATCCGTGAAAATATCTAGTACTTCGGAATTGGCAATTTATTAATAAGAGTAAAAAACGGAAAATTTAGATAGATAGATAGATAGATAGATAGATAGATAGATAGACATAAACAAAGAGACTGGGGTTGATAGATAGATAGATAGATAGATAGATAGAAACGAAGAGATTGAGGTTGATAGATAGATAGATAGATAGATAGAAACGAAGAGATTGAGGTTGATAGATAGATAGATAGATAGATAGAAACGAAGAGATTGAGGTTGATAGATAGATAGATAGACATAAACAAAGAGACTGGGGTTGATAGATAGATAGATAGATAGATATAAACGAAGAGACTGAGGTTGATAGATAGATAGATAGATATAAACGAAGAGACTGAGGTTGATAGATAGATAGATAGATAGATAGAAACGAAGAGATTGAGGTTGATAGATAGATAGATAGATAGATAGAAACGAAGAGATTGAGGTTGATAGATAGATAGATAGATAGATAGAAACGAAGAGATTGAGGTTGATAGATAGATAGATAGATAGATAGATAGATAGATAGATAGATAGAAACGAAGAGATTGAGGTTGATAGATAGATAGATAGATAGATAGAAACGAAGAGATTGAGGTTGATAGATAGATAGATAGATAGATAGATAGATAGATAGATAGATAGATAGATAGATAGAAACGAAGAGACTGAGATAGATAGATAGATAGATAGATAGGAAAGGCGGCGCCAAGGCTGGTCAATACTTTGACGGGAGACCATTTAAGTACACCCAGTAATATAAGTAATGGCAGTGTTCATTTCATCATGATATGATTCGTCCATGAACAACTCCACCTGCGTCTGACCATCAGTCAACTCGAATCGTATGCGCCACATACAGACTCCAATTAACTTGAGTGGTTCTTGTGTCTGAATCAAGGATGCTTGATGTGGACAGTTCACAAACTGTTGCGCAAGCTATTGCATAAACAATCGAACAGGTACCGTCGAGTTTCCGGACCTTTTCGAGGTCAGTTTAGTGTTCGCCCTCGTAATTGAGTTACTTGCGATACGTATTACCAGCAGATTGATAAATTAAAATAGATATGAACAGACATAGATAGATAGATAGATAGATAGATATGAACAGACATAGATCGAGAGATTTTAGATGATATGAACAGACATAGAATAGCATAGATAGATAGATAGATAGATATGAACAGACATAGGATAGATAGATAGATAGATAGATAGATAGATAGATAGATAGATAGATAGATAGATATGAACAGACATAGATCGAGAGAGAGATAGATAGATATGAACAGACATAGAATAGCATAGATAGATAGATAGATAGATATGAACAGACATAGGATAGATAGATAGATAGATAGATAGATAGATAGATAGATATGAACAGACATAGATCGAGAGAGAGATAGATAGATATGAACAGACATAGAATAGCATAGATAGATAGATAGATAGAATATGAACAGACATAGGATAGATAGATAGATAGATAGATATGAACAGACATAAGATAGATAGATAGATAGATAGATAGATAGATAGATAGATAGATAGATAATAGATAGATATGAACAGACATAGGATAGATAGATAGATAGAATGATGAACAGACATAAGATAGATAGATGGACAAACATAGATAGATAGATAGAGATATGAACAGACATAGAATAGATAGATAGATAGATGGATAGAAGAACAGACATAGATAGATAGATAGATAGATGGATGATAGATATAGATGGATAGATAGATAGATGAATGGATATGATAGATAGACATATTTTCGAAGAGAGAGATAGATAGATATGAACAGACATAGAATAGCATAGATAGATAGATAGATAGATATGAACAGACATAGGATAGATAGATAGATAGATATGAACAGACATAAGATAGATAGATAGATAGATAGATAGATAGATAGATATGAACAAACATAGAATAGCATAGATAGATAGATATGAACAGACATAAGATAGATAGATAGATAGATAGATAGATAAAACAGGATTTCCTTCCATACATAGTTTTCACGATTTCTATTGAAGTTGTCCCATTGCTCATACTTAATCCTTAAATGTATTGCTGATAAATTATAGATAGATAGACAGATAGATAGGAATTGACTGAGATAGATAGATAGATAGATAGATAGATAGATAGATAGATAGATAGATAGAAATTCACCGAGATAGAATGGGAGAAACTGAGAAAGCATATATACATATTGATATGTCCCGAAAAGGGATATATTTGAACGAAGTAGCTAAGTGGTTTTGTCTACTATAACCAAGTAAAATAGGGTAGCAGTAATCGACTGATATGCGTTGTAGTCACAGGTAAGAAGTGTAGATCAATGGCGTAGACTCTTAGACTAAGGCTCTTGACTCTCGTATCTAAAAGTCTGTCGGTATTTATGACGGACACCAGCCAATCATATTCCACTGAGGGGGAACACAGGTGTACGCATATTCCATTATATCATATATATATATATATATATATATATATATATATATATATATATATATGTGTGTGTGTGTGTGTGTGTGTGTGTGTATGTATGTATGTATATATATATATACACGTCCCTGGAAAATTTAATTAGATGACAATTACATTACAATATATTAAACAATACACGGACAAGACAATAATGTCTGTTTTTGTTGCATTAATGATTTCCAAGCAACGACAAAGTCATGTATACGAGACGCGGAAGCGAAAATCACACCGCTGCTAGTGACGTCACACATGTAATTGTCATCTTTGATAATGTCTTATGTACGCCGAAAGCTTAGATAGGATTAAAAAAAAAAAAAAAAAAAAAAACATGCGTCAGTATGGTGTTTTTCTTTCATCTTTGAATGATAATGTTATTAAGCTTATCAGACAATATGAAAAAATTCATGGAAATGCACATAATAAATAAAAGGGATTTGTGGAGAGATATGACTGCCCACGTCCTGAAGGGAGATGACTACCAACTAAATCAAAAATACTATTTAACCCATAGCTGGGGAGGAGGAAAAGAGACGGAGTCATGACTTTTCCCAAAGGTGCGAGAATGAACGCAATAGACGTTCTCAGAATTTGAACCCTGTCCATCGATTTTACAGTCTTGTTAAAAATTCTATAAAATGGAAGTTGTGGAGGTCCATGATCGCCCAAGTCCTGAGGTGTTATTTTCGCGGCATGACATGAGGGACGGTAATTAAACAGAGCCAAATATATCCGATTTCCGGACTTCACATTTCCAAGCTGAATACTTGAATCCCGTTTGTCGATTCCACTTTCCGCAGTTTTGTTAAAAATTCTATAAAAAGGGAAGTGGTGGAGAGCCATGATCACCCAAGTTCTGAAGGGGATACGTTCTGGATTATTCTAAAATCCTTTCGAAACGGATCGAGTTTTCCTAGTAGTTCAAATAGGTCCTTGTGTCGTGCTTTGTCAAATGCTTTTGCGTCGTTTACTCTGCTTCTATTTCTGTCGTTTCCACTTGTTATTATTTTCACAGCATGACGTGAGGGTCGGAAAATAGACAGAGCGAAATATATCCGGTTTCTCGACTTCACCTTTCCAAGCTGAATACTTGTGGCTTGTCACGAATTTCGTTTCAATTTTTCCCATTCCGTTTAGAAGAAAAAGGAAGGAAAAAACCTTATTAACAAACGTATATATATATATATATATATATATATATATATATATATATATATATATATATTTCAGCTGAAAAATAAAAGTATTTCAAGGTCACTATTCCGTTTTCTGTTCATATAATATTTACGAGCAAAACCCGTGAAATTTTCAGGCTTTTTCTATTTAAATGTTATTTGTTAACAATTTACTTGTTACAAATTCCATTTCATCCCCCCCTCCAAACACACAAACTTAATAAAAAACAAAAAGGAAAGAAAGAAACAACATATTAGCAAACGTATTTAAATTAAGCTTTTTTCATCAGAAAAACATGAATTTCCTATTTATATTATTCGGACTGTTATCCTCATCTTCTTTGCCATATTCACAACGTTTCGGCCATTGGACGTTACGACCTTCTTCAGGTTATTGGATCTCTGAAATGAGGTCTTATGATTATTTGCGTTATTTAAATTATTCGGTCTGTTATCCTCATCTTCATTGTCATCTTCACAACGTTTCGGCCATTGAACGTTACGGCCTTCTTCAGGTGATTGGATCTCTGAAATGAGGTCTTATGATTATCTGCATTATTTACATTATTCGGACTGTTAACCTCATCTACATTGCCATCTTCACAACGTTTCGGTTATTGTACGTTACAGCCTTCCTCAGGTGATTGAATCTCTTAAATGAGGTCTTATGAATACTTGCGTTATTTACATTATTCGGACTGTTATCCTCATCTTCTTTGCCATATTCACAATGTTTCGGCCATTGTACTCTCCGGCCTTCTTCAGATGATTGGATCTCTGAGATGAGGCCTTATGATTACTTGCATTATTTACATTATTCGGACTGTTATCCTCATCTTCATTGACATATTCACAACGTTTCGGCCATTGTACGTTACGGCCTTCTTCAGGTGATTGGATCTCTGAAATGAGGTCTTATGATTATCTGCATTATTTACATTATTCGGACTGTTATCCTCATCTTCATTGCCATATTCGCAATGTTTCGGACGTTGTACGCTCCGGCCTTTTTCAAGGAGATTGGAATTTTGAACCGAACTCAAGGACACATGGCCCAGTGGGTAAAGACGTTGGTTAGAACCAGTGACTAGACCCAAAGAGTTGTGAGTTCAATACCAGGCCACAGCGGTGGTGAACCAAAAACTTGGAGAGTTGAGTTAAATGGAAATAACCGAGACATCCGGAAGAGGCATGGCACGATGAACTAGAACAATCTAGACTGGTGGACGAAATAAAGAGCTCGGTTCGAAATCCTAAACACCGGAAGAAGGCCGGGCGTTGTGAATATGGCAATGGACATGACGATAACAATCCAAATAATATAAATACAAATAATCATAATACCTCATGTCATCTTTATCTCTATCTATAAAAGGCAGGATGTGTGTGTGTGTGTGTATGTGTGTGTGTGTGTGTAACGAATGCACGGCCGCAATTTTCGACGTATTTGCACCAAAATTTACATGCACATGCTTCAAGTTAGCGTGAAGGCCAAGACCGACTTTGCATTTCCTCCCATCGAGAGTGGAAATAACCGATTTTTCATGCTTCTACGGAAGTTTTCATGTAGTTTGCGGCCATTTTCTACTGGCCAGAGAGCCTATAGCTGGCTGCCACATCGTACAGGAACCGGTGTTTCAACGTGATATGGTCGTAAGCACATTACACCAATCGCACATCCAATCTTACAGCACCTGGTATTCCCAAACGGTCACCCATCTTGGTACTGACCAGGCTCGACGTTGTTTAACTTCAGTGATCGTACAGGAACCGGTGTTTCAACGTGGTAGGGTCGTAAGCACATTACACCAATCGTACATCCAATCTTACAGCACCTGGTATTCCCAAACGGTCACCCATCTTGGTATTGACCAGCCTAGACGTTGCTTAACTTTAGTGATCGTACAGGAACCGGTGTTTCAACGTGATAGGGTCGTAAGCACCAATCGTACATCCAATCTTACAGCATCTGTTATTCCCAAGCGGTTACCCATCTTGGTACTGACCAGGCTCGACGTTGCTTAACTTCAGTGATCGTACAGGAACCGGTGTTTCAACGTGATAGGGTCGTAAGCACCAATCGTACATCCAATCTTACAGCATCTGTTATTCCCAAGCGGTTACCCATCTTGGTACTGACCAGGCTCGACGTTGCTTAACTTCAGTGATCGTCCGACAACCGGTGTCTCAACGTTTTGTGGCCGTAAGCCTATGGATGACTAGAGGAATACTCTGTAACGACCTTTCACGCTTATTATTAACAACTGTTTTCTCGCCCAATTATGATAATGAGGCCAAACATATGATCTTAATTATCCTCTATCTTTTCTCACTCTCTCTTTTCTCATCTCTTTCATTTGTACAGTGAAGGTTTCCACGTTCATTTAAACCGCCCAGCCGGCATTTTATTGTTGCATTACTCAAATGGCCCATGTTTCATTAATGTGTGTGTGTGTGTGTGTGTGTGTGTGTGTGTGTGTGTGTGTGTGTGTGTGTGTGTGTTGTTCAGAGGTAGCTCGTGATCGGCCCATTTTGTTGTTTAGTGCCGATTACGTAAGCCAAAATAACGCCAGTCGAAAGAGTTGCTTATATAATGGTGGCAGACAAGATGGCGTCGCACTGACAGATTAACGGACGGTCCTTTTTCTTGTTAATGAATTCATTTGAAGACTGACAAGACGAATAGACAGGAAAAATATGATAATGACATTATTTTTAGGTGTGTAATAATTCCGAGCGTTTTTTTGGGTTTTTTTTTCTTTATGAAAATTATTTTCCTCCTGCGTAAAATAATTTGCGTTTTCAAAAATAGAACACTGGAAATTTATTACGCATAAAACATGTAAGATACGAACAGACTGGACATAGATAGATAGATAGATAGATAGATAGATAGATAGATAGATAGATAGATAGATAGATAGAACTGAAAAGAAAGAAAATTTTGGTAGATAGATAGATAGAGAGAGAGAGGGGGGAGAGAAAGAGATAGATCTGAAAAGAAAGAAATTTTAGTAGATAGATAGATGGATCTGAAAAGAAAGAAATTATGATAGATAGATAGATAGATAGATAGATAGATAGATAGATAGATCTGAAAAGAAAGAAATTTTGATAGATAGATAGATAGATAGATAGATAGATAGATAGATAGATATAGAAACAAAATCCCTTGTAACACCAAAGATGAACTGAAAAAAAGAACTGTAATGGCAGCATTCACCAACTTAAATAAGGAGACCGTCCTGAATAACACGAGATTCCGAAGTCGTCTGAAGGCCGTGCTTGAAGCCAATGGCGATTTTATTGATTAAATTTACTTTTTAGTATTTCAAGATATTTTTGTGTAATTTTGGTAAATATATTTGTTAAAATGAGATGTCATTTTTCATTCTTGCGTCATTTAGACGACAGTTTATCCATCACACGATTTATATCTGTTAAAATGAGGTCACTGTTATTTTTCATTCATGTGTTATGTAGGCGACAATTTAACCATCGCACCCTATATAGATGTTAAAACGAAGTCATCGTTATTTTCCATTCCTGCCTCGTTTTGACGACAATTTATCCATCGCGCCCTGTATATCTGTTAAGATGAGGTCACCGTTATTTTTCCTTCCTGCGTCATTTACACGACAATTTATCAATCGCACCATGTATATCGATGACGTCAAAATGGTTATTTTTCATTCATACGTAGGCGACAATTTAGCCATCGCGCCCTGTATATCTGTTAAAATGAGGTCATCGTTATTTTTCATTCCGGCCTCATTTACACGACAATTTATCAATCGCACCATGTATAACAGATGACGTCAAAATGGTTATTTTTCATTCATACGTAGGCGACAATTTAGCCATCGCGCCCTGTATATCTGTTAAAATGAGGTCATCGTTATTTTTCATTCCGGCCTCATTTACACGACAATTTATCCATCGCACCATGTATAACAGATGACGTCAAAATGGTTAATTTATCCATCGCACCATGTATAACTTAGATGACGTCAAAATGGTTATTTTTCATTCATACGTAGGCGACAATTTATTCCTCGCACCCAGTATATCTGTTATATGTCCGTTATTTTTCATTCCGGCCTCATTTACACGACAATTTATCCATCGCACCATGTATAACTTAGATGACGTCAAAATGGTTATTTTTCATTCATACGTAGGCGACAATTTAGCCATCGCGCCATGTATAACAGATGACGTCAAAATGGTTATTTTTCATTCATACGTAGGCGACAATTTAGCCATCGCGCCCTGTATATCTGTTAAAATGAGGTCATCGTTATTTTTCATTCCGGCCTCATTTACACGACAATTTATCCATCGCACCATGTATAACTTAGATGACGTCAAAATGGTTAATTTATCCATCGCACCATGTATAACTTAGATGACGTCAAAATGGTTATTTTTCATTCATACGTAGGCGACAATTTATTCATCGCACCCAGTATATCTGTTATATGTCCGTTATTTTTCATTCCGGCCTCATTTACACGACAATTTATCCATCGCACCATGTATATCGATGACGTCAAAATGGTTATTTTTCATTCATACGTAGGCGACAATTTAGCCATCGCGCCCTGTATATCTGTTAAAATGAGGTCATCGTTATTTTTCATTCCGGCCTCATTTACACGACAATTTATCCATCGCACCATGTAAAGATGGTCAAAATGGTTATTTTTCATTCATACGTAGGCGACAATTTATTCATCGCACCCAGTATATCTGTTAAAATGAAGTCATCGTTATTTTTCATTCCGGCCTCATTTACACGACAATTTATCCATCGCACCACGTTTCGATGACGTCAAAATGGTTATTTTTCATTCAGACGTAGGCGACCATTTAGCCATCGCGCCCTGTATATCTGTTAAAACGAGGCCATCGTCATTTTTCATTCCGGCCTCATTTACACGACAATTTATCCATCGCGCCCTGTATATCTGTCAAGATGACGTCAAAATGGTTATTTTTCATTCACACGTAGGCGACAATTTAGCCATCGCATGCTGCATAATTCCGGTGTTCGTACGATAACCGGTCTTTCAACGTGATATGGTCCTAAGTCCTTTAGACCAGTCATATATCCAGACTTTACAGCGCCTGGTATTCCCCAGCGGTCACTCATCTAGGTACTGACCAAGCTCGACGTTGCTTCACTTCGGTGACCGTACAAGAACCGGTATTTCAACGTGTCATGGCTGTATATCCAATCTTGACTTCGTGTTATGGCCGTAAGTCCATATTCGTTAAGATTGTCGTTATCAGGGAATCATCCCCAAGGATTGGGTTCTTAGGAGAGAAGTTCTTCGAGTTGATCTTAGATCTCATCAATCGAATCCGAAGAGAATGAAGGTTGGTCGGCCAAAATCTGCGTAGCGTGAAGGAATTGGTAGAACTAAGGAATGTGTTTCGTCTGAACACTTTCCATGGAAATAGCGAGTGGCTTGCGGCGCTTCGTCTGCGAGAAAGAGGTTGTAGCGTGGAAAATAATTTGTCGCCCACATGGACGAGCAATCGCATTGGCATTCAGAATTGATCGGAGTATATGCATGACGCGTTCAGTACAGGAGGGGCGTATTCAATATTTGATTATTTTACGGCAATACGCGCTTAGGTGGGGGGGGTAGGCAGTTCTGATCAACATTTCTTTTCGTGGTTGTAATGACAAAACTATGCAGGTTTAGGCTTTAAGAAAGCCTTATTCAACTGGGGATACAAGGTTCGCGTAAAATGTCCTCTTATAGTCCCAGTAAACAGAAATAGCTCTCTCTCTCAAAGAGGAAAGTAACAAAACAAGGGGAGACCACTCTTGATTATTCGTAACAATGGTTTGCCGTAAGGAGTTGTAAATGTAGGGATACCTTACATTTAAGTAATATAATAACAATAATATTTATTAATTTATTAAGTTTTACGTAAACATTTTTGGTAATTAAGGATTTAGTTACATAACAAATAAATAAAAATAATTTAGATTTTGATTCTATATTCGATTTGTTGTTAGGTATTTTTTTCATTTTCTCTTTTGTTATTGGCAACATTTTGGAATACTTTGGCTGCAATTCCTAAATTGAAGAAACTCGAGCTATTTCGTTTACGCTTTGTTACCTCTCTTTTCCATTGTTGTTTTTAGATCGCTTTCTTCCTTTCATTTTGATGGGCAATAGCGAAATTCTGAAATGTAGAATGATCTTATTCCATTTCAAAAATAAACCATGTAAGAAGGAATATTTTAAATTAATATACGACCAAAAATAAAATACCTTTTGACAAAAAAAATCCTTAATGATTTCATTATAATTATGTAACAATAATGTAATGATATTCCGCAGACAAATCTACGCTTTATGTTACCTCATCTCATGGTTACGAACTCTAAACCTAAACTGAGCTTAAAATATTGTGTAATCGGCTCTAATTTTTTGTATAAAATACTTGGATATGATATAATGAATAATTTGCAGCGAAAAAAATAAGCAATCTTTGATTTATTGTTGAATACGCCCCTCCGTCATAGCACGAGACCTTGTCCTTTATACCACACCTTGTCAAAGGCTTTTGAGATATCTGATGAGTGACTTCACTAAAGGTAGTAACTACCTATAAGTATCTGTAAGTCAACGGACTACACAGCTTAGCTGCGACCTGTTCCAGCTAGACAGTCGAGCTCTCTGCCTTCGGGCGGAGGGGAGCCCGAACGGAGTTCCGCCGAGGGGCGGAGTCTCGTTCAGCGAGGTAGACTTCCCCTGAACCCGTTTATACCGGTTCGAAACCCACGTTAAACCCGGCCTTGTGCCACATGCAACCCACGTGGTGGGTGGGGGGTAGGCTAAATATACCTGCTGCGATCTGTTCCAGGTAGACGTTCGAACTCTCTGCCTCTGAGCAGAGAGGAACCCGAACGAGGCTCCGCCGAAGGACAGAGTCTCGTGCGGGGAGGTTGACCAACCCGATCCCGTTTATGCGGGTTATACGGGGATTTTTTTTGGTCGAGTCTACGGGCTCGAGTAACCCACGTTAAACCCGGCCTTGTGCCACATCTACCCTCGTGGGGTGGGGGCGTTGTTAGTAAATACTGACTAGCTGGAATCTGTTGAGTACGACTCAAACATACGCGAGAACTACCGACCTTCCAGTGGTAGTAGCACTCACTACTGGATTGACCTTGTGCCTAACTGTTACCTTTATTCTCATCGTACTGTTTTTTGTTTTGTATTTGTATTTGTTTTTGTTTTTTTTTACAATAAACCTTTACTTATTTTATCCAATTTGTTTTTCAAGTATATATTCCTTTTTATCACGGAATATAACAATATCCGATCCAATAGTCCTTAAGATGTATTTATTATCTGGTGTCTCAATGATTGAATAATTCTGTTCAGTTCGGACATCAGCAATGGATCGGGCCGAACGAAACAGATTGGTCAATTTATACATGATAATATTTTATTATTATTATTATTAGATAGATAGATAGATAGATAGATAGATAGATACGAGCAGATTGTGATATATAGATAGATAGAGAGTTATGATCAGACTGAGATAGATAGATAGATAGATAGATAGATAGATATGAACAGAGCGAGATAGATAAATAGAAAGATATGAAAAGAGCGAGATAGATAGATAGATAGATAGATACGAGCACATTGTGATATATAGATAGAGACATATATAGATAGATAGACATAGACATCAGACTGAGATATAGATAGATAGATACTGATAGATAGATAGATAGATAGATAGATAGATACGAGCACATTGTGATATATAGGTAGAGAGATATGATCAGACTGAGATAGATAGATAGATAGATAGATAGATAGATAGATAGATAGATAGATAGATACGAGCACATTGTGATATATAGGTAGAGAGATATGATCAGACTGAGATAGATAGATAGTAAGTAGTAGTAGTATTGTTGTCGACGTATTTTTGTATTTTAGCTTACAGGGGGCGATGGGTAAATTGTTGCCATTTTATATTTTTGGACTTCGCGCATGTGCGTTATTTGTTTTTGATTTTGCCGTCCACAGACCATAGTCGGATCAGTTGGGCACCGTCTGCGAGAAAAAGGACACCATGACGTAATTCACTCCACCAGATATTTGGAAACGGCATTCGCGCCGGAATCTCCAATACGAACATTTCAGAGTATTTGAGTGTCAACCTGATGACAGTCCAAAAGATTCGGAAAGAGTTGGATGAGTCTAATGATGATTACGAAGGTGTTTGGAATGACCGCTAGTCATGATGGCGACGTTATGTCTCCATTCGTCTTCCTACAGGGCCTCAGAATCAACCCGGAGGCCTACATGAAGTGACTTGAGGAGGTAGTGATGCCCTGGGTGAAGAGGGTGGCTGCTGGAAGACGCTATGTCTGGCAACAGGACCCTGCACTATGCCACAAAAGCAGGAGAACCCAGTTATAGCTGTCAGACAATTTCTGCGACCACATCACCCCCTTATATCTGGCCACCTAACTCACCAGACTGCAACCATTTGTTTATAATGTGTGAGGTGCAATTGAGAGAGAGAGAGAGAGAGAGAGACCAACAAAACTCCTTGCAACACTAAAGATGAACTGAAGGCAAGGATTATGGCAGTATTCACCAACTTAAACAAGGAGACTGCCCAGAAAAGTTGTAAGAAATTCCGAAATCGTCTGGAGGGTGTGGTTGAAGCCAATGGCGATTTTATTGAATAAATTTACTCTTTAGTATTTCCAGATATTTTTGTGTGATTTTGGTAAATATATCTCTGAAAATGAGATGTCAGTGTTATTTTTCATTTTCGTGTCATTTAGACGACAATTTTATTCCTGTGAATGCGGACATATTGTTTTTTCACGGATTTCCCTCTCTTTTGTTTTTATTCTTATTTCCAAAATCTTAAGTGGCTTTTTCCAAGAATACCAGGACGCTTCTTCGATTCCTACGTGACAATAGGCGTAAAGTTAAAAATTTCAATAATAGTCATAGTATCGCTCTTAAATAGGACGCCACAACGGATATATGATGGGAAATGAATACAAGCGGATATGAAGGGAGGGAGGGAGATAGATAGATAGATAGATAGATAGATAGATAGATAGATATAGATAGAGAGATTTATATGGATATTTGGTCAACAGATTGATAGAGAGATAGATATGAATAAAGACTTAGATATGAATAGACTGAGATGGATTTGAAGATATATATATATATATATATATATATATATATATATATATATATCAAGATAGATAGATAGATAGATAGATAGATATGAATAGATTTAATATAAATATAGATATATATGATTTATAGATAGATAGATAGATAGATATGATAGATAGATATGAATAAAGATAATAGATATGAAATTGAATAAATTGATGATAGATAGATTTGAGGAGATAGATAGATGATAGATATGAATAAATTGACTTAGATAGATAGATATATAGATAGATAGATAGATAGATATGAATAGAGACTTAGATATGAATAAATTGAGATAGATTTGAGGACATAGATAGATAGATAGATAGATAGATAGATAGATAGATAGATAGATATAGATAGATAGAATGTTAGATGAATAGAAACTTAGATAGAGAGATAGATATTATTCAATAAAGACTTAGATATGAATAGACTGAGATGGATTTGAAGATATATATATATATATATATATATATATATATATATATATATATATATATATATATATATAGATATTTAATAAATATTTTATATAAATATAAATAGACAGATAGATAGATAGATAGATAGATAGATAAATAGATAGATGTGAATAGTGATTTCGATAGATATGAATATAATCAAGCAAGATTAATCTTCACTGAGAAACATTCTAAAGAAATGAACAATTTCAGTTGACAAAAACAAGAAAATTAAATTAATTATTATTAAAAATTTAAAACTGCTAACCTCATTGTCAAAAAGAATAATTCATCTGCAAGATGTACATTACAGAGTACCAATATAATTTACGAATTTGCATGTACCTTACGGAATTGTGTTCCTGAACAATCCAAATTCATAAATAATTATATTGGATATGCTGCAACATGCATATCATGAAGGCAAACGTTACATCTCTCTGACAATAGCTTAATTAGGTCTCATTTAAATAACCATGGAGACATGCCAAAACACCATCTGCAACATACTCGTTGCCAATACAAATATGCAGAGAAAAGGGAGATCACCGCCCTCTGTGGGATCAGGTTGAAATCATAGACAAAGAACACCATTGGAAAATTCGTAAACTTAAGGAATCAGCACAAAAATCTCCTGAGCCGACCAAGCATAGAAATGAATACAATATGGGAACCAGTAATAAGGAGTGCCAGAGAAAAGCGATAATAACAACAAAAATTGCAATATGAGCTCTGGTAAAAGCATGGAATGATAACAGCAAAAATTGCAATATGAGCACTGGTAAAATATGATTGCTGATGACATTGGGTTTATAATATCCAGAAATTCATACACAGATGTCCTCAAGGACACATGACACAGTGGATAAAGGCGTTAGTTAGATCCAGTGACAGAACCCAAAGAGTGTGAGTTCAATATCCGCTTAAGGCAGTGGACAACATTCAGAGGAAAATTAACATATATATATATATATATATATATATATATATATATATCATCAGTGTGGCTAGACATCTGATCGTTTCTATCTATCTATCTCAATTTGTTTATATTTATTTGTCTGTTTCTATATTAAGATGTTAATATCTATCAATTTATCTAACCCAGTGTGTTCATATCTATCTAAGACTCTTCATATCTATCTATCTATCTATGTAGCCAGCCTGTTCATATCTATTTATCTGACAGTGTTCATATCTATATATCTCACGGTGTCTTCTTATCTATCTTCTCTCTCTCTCTCTCTCTCTGTATCTGTCTATCTATCTCACGATCTTTTCATATCTATCTATCTGTATGTCTATCTACCTAAGACACTTCATATCTATCTATCTAGCCCAGTCTGTTCATATTTATTTATCTATCTCAGTTATCTGTTCACATCGATATATATCACGATAACTTCTTATCTATCTATCCCCCCCTCTCTCTCTCTCTGTCTAGATAGAGGGAGATAGATCTCCCTCTTTCTCTCTATATCTATCTATTTATCTATCGCACGATATTTTCATATCTATCTATCTATCTATCTATCTATCTATCTATCTAATTCTCTTTATAATGGACTCGGCTGATGAAAACGGAACATCGCTAGAGCAGTGAAATCTTTTATCCATTAATTGCAACTCTTTCTCTTAATAACGGCATTGTTTTCTTCCAGGTAAACAAACATCTGACTATCCAAAGAAGTACCTGTTATCGACTTCTCTTGAAAGTTGACAATATTTGGCACCGTGGTACTATCACATAATTCTCAGCCGAAAATGGTTTTAGTCCCGAAGACCATTCATGGGGATACGGTTGCTACATTAGAGAATGGCGTTCCGGCTTTATCAACAGTGCAAAAGTGGGCAGCTATATTTAGAAGCGGAGGAGGGTATCTTGAAGATGACCCAAGATCTGGAGGTCCTGCATCTGAGGAAAACATCTGCCGTGTTCACCATATGGTGATGGATGAAAGGTGATTGACTATAAATCAAATGCTATTATTACAATAAAGCATGGCAAAGGTTTCTGCTCAGTGGGTGTGTCTTCTGACGCCTGATCAAAAGCACACCAGGCTGATCACATCACGAGAAAATCTGACATTGTCTGAGGCAGATCCAGCTGATTACCCTGAACGCTCCCTAACCCAGGATGAGTGTTGGGTTCATCACTTAGAGCCAAAGAGAAAAAGAGAGTCCATGCAGTGGAACCACCAACCTTCCTCACCTGCCCCAAAGAAGGTCATGTTCGTTTCATCTGCAGGGTAAGTGACGGCTTCAGTTTTTAAGGAAGCAAAAGGCATTGTGTTTATTGACGATATTCAAAAGGGCCACACCATCACTGGAGAGTACTATACCAAGTTGCTGAGGCAGTTACGAAAGGCTATTAAGAGCAAACGACCAGGAAAACTAACGAAAGGAGCCATGCTTAATGAGAAAATGCACCTGGACACATTTCCTTGGTTTCACTGGCTGCCGTATGTCACTGTGACTTTGAACTGATTGATCACTCATCCAAATCAGCCCTGTACGCGCGCGCACACACACACACACACACAAATAAAAAGAAAGAAAGAAAGAAATACAAGAAAGAAAAAATGTCGAAACAACGAAGAATGTAACGTTCATGAAACCCCGATGAAAGAATTCTTCTTTAAAGGTGTAAGATGATGGTAATTACACTTTGAACACCCCCCCATCTGACTACCATCTGTTCTCCAACATGAATAAACACTTGGCTGGGAAACAGTATCACAGTGATGATGACGTCACATCTGCTCTTTACAGTGATGTTCACTCTATACAAGCCCTGGGAGCCACTCGAGATAGAGGTTTACAGAGTTAGAGGCACTGGTTAGTCGAATATATGGGGAAGATAACGATTAATCCCTCCTTTTTATATTGTAAAATGACCAGTAGCTATTTATAGCAAAACAACCAACAATACATTTTATAGTAAAATAACCAACAATACATTTTTATAGTAAAATGACCAACGATATATTTTATAGTAAAAAGACCAACAATAAATTTTTATAGTAAAATGACCAACAATAACTTTTTATAGCAAAATGACCAAATATACATTTTTATAGTAAAATGACCAACAATATATTTTTATAGTAAAATAACCAAAAATACATTTTTATAGTAAAATGACCAACAATGCATTTTTATAGTAAAATGACCAACGATATATTTTATAGTAAAAAGACCAACAATAAATTTTATAGTAAAATGACCAAAAAATAACTTTTTATAGTAAATGACCAAATATACATTTTATAGTAAAATGACCAAAATACATTTTATAGTAAAATGACCAACAATATATTTTTATAGTAAAATGACCAACCACATTTTTATAGTAAAATGACCAAAATACATTTTATAGTAAAATGACCAACAATACATTTTTTATAGTAAAATGACCAACAATACATTTTATAGTAAAATGACCAACAATATATTTTATAGTAAAATGACCAACTATACATTTTTTATAGTAAATGAAACAATAATACCACCAACAATACATTTTATAGTAAAATGACCAACAATACATTTTTATAGTAAAATGACCAACAATACATTTTTATAGTAAAATGACCAAAATACATTCTTATAGTAAAATGACCAAAATACATTTTATGGGGAAATGGCCAATAATATATTTTATCTGTAGTTGGAGGCAAACAATTATCTTCAAAATATATGTAGTTGAAGCCATAAAATTGTGTTCCAAATATTTATATTTCAACGTGAAATAACCCATAGAGGTGTTGCTATGCGGCTAAACGAAATCAACCAACCAATCAACATAAAAGAACTCTTTCATGACATTCATCCATATAATATCCCACAATTTCTCAGAGAAATCAAACTGTATTCCAAAATATAATATCAACAAACCTACGACATGAAATATACCCCATCTATTAACCATGTCCCCCCACCCAAAAAAAAAACATGTTTATACACAAAAGCTGAGTATCATCTACCATGTATTCAACTGTGAAAGCAGAATAACATATCATGTTTTTATTATTTCAAATCTCCCAAGAAAATTTCGGCATTAAGCTACCCATAAGGTGATGATATGTCTTTAAAAAAACAACTGAATGGAACCATTCGTCCATGTTTAGAATATTGCTGCCACATATGGTCTGGTGCTCCTGCTATACATTTTGAGATCCTTGATAAAAACCAAAGAAGAATCTGCAATGTTATTGTCTTTTTTGCAATGTTATTAGTCCTGACCTGGCATCTAGGCTTTAGTTACTTTCTCACTGCCGTAAAGTATAGATTAAAAACAAAGTAAAATAAATTAGCAACAATAGATCTTTGTAAAAAAGAACAAATTACTGAAGCTATCAAGAAAATTAAATTTCAGGATTAAATGACCCATAAGATGTTGATATGCCGTTAAACAAACAAATGTGCTAATTTAAGTAACGAAGGCACTAGCAATATTATAAGAAGCTAATAATTAGCAGAGTCTACGGAAACATAGTGTAGGTCACCTAGTGAGAATAGAACTCATTTATAGTAATGGAAGTTTTCGAGACGAGCTTGTTAGCCATTGCTTCTATTGGCGCCCATATTACCGGAAAAGTCGATTAAGATATAATCGGCGCATCACCCAAAAGATATAATTCTTCTTAACGAAATTTCCGGCGCCCGTTGACACCCGACAGTCGCCAATTAAAATATGAAACATCGGCCAAGCAATCAACCGACCCGCCAGTCAGACGATGGGCCTCCAGGTCTGTTGGAATGTTGCGGAAAAACAAGAAACTATTACTTATTTTATCTTTTTTTTAAACTTTTCAATACTTGTTTCTTTTTTTTGGCGGGATGGGGAGGGGGTTGTTTATCTTATAAGGTTTTCTTTTCTTTTTCTTTTTTCTTCTCGATTCATTTCTCCTTTTCTTTTGTCTTTTTCCGACATTTGTATTCGGATATTTTCCATTTTTTTTTTTTTTTTGCTCTCCATCTTGTTCCTCTTTTCTTCTACATCTTGGCTTCATGTCATATTATTTTGCTTCTTCTTATTATTATTATTATTATTATTATTATTACAATAACTCCTCCATACTTAAGCAGTTCGCATCTGTGTAAACCTGTTCGTATTTATTTTTTCGATCGCAATCTGTTAATATATATCTCGTTCCTATCTATCTATCTATCTATCTCGATCCGTTCATATCTATCTATCTATCTATCTATCTATCTATCTATCTATCTATCTATCTATCTATCTGGGTCTGCTCATTATCTATCTATCTATCTATCTATCTATCTATCTATCTATCTATCTATCTATCTATCTATCTATCTGGGTCTGCTCATTATCTATCTATCTATCTTTCTATTAAATAAATCTATCTATTATCTATCTATCTTTTTCCGTTCATATCTATCTATCTATCTATCTATCTATCTATCTATTCATCTATCTATCTATCTATCTGGGTCTATTCATTATCTATCTTGTTCTATCTATCTATCTATCTATCTATCTATCTATCTATCTATCTATCTATCTGGGTCTTCTCTTATCTATCTATCTATCTATCTCGTTTATATTCATATCTTCTATCTATCTATCTATCTATATCTATTCTCATCTATCTATCTATCTATCTATCTATCTATCTGGGTCTACTCATTATCTATCTATCTATCTATCTATCTATCTATCTATCTATCTATCTATCTTTCTATCTATCTATCTATCTCGTTCCGTTTTAATAAAATCTATCTATCTATCTATCTATCTATCTATCTATCTATCTCGTTCCATTCATATCTATCTATATCATTCAGTTCATATCTATCTATCTATCTATTTATCTCAGTCAGTTCATATCTAGTTATCGGATGTGATAAAGAAATTTAA